GCTGTATGAATACTATAAGTAATCAAACTGTTGTAGTAATAGCTGAGCTAATGGCGTATTTGAGAGGGGATTGTGGTCTCCTTACAATTTATTAGCCTGCTCAGGTGTGCAGATATGCATTATCATAATTATTTTTTAATTAACCTTTATGTATACAGGTAGTCTCATTGAGTCATGGGGGCTCATTTTTCAAGAGAGACCTGTTTTAGACTGACAACATATAAAGTACCGACAATATACAACAATAAAAGCACATAAAAATCAAAGTGGACAGCTTCAGATCTTGTTGCAAGGTGTTCCAGGTGCAGGAACAGAGTAAGAAAAGGCCTTAATAATAATAATAATAATAATAATAATAATAATAATAATAATAATAATAATTTAATAATAATGATTTGTATCAGCAGCAGTTATGTAATAATTGTGCAACAAGATGATGAATTGAACAGTATTAATAAAAAACAAGAGAAAAAGGAATAATGTTTGGTAACTGTAAGCCTAAACACGATAAGAATAGTTTTTAAAAAGTTCTGCTTACCCGTTCAGTATTTCTCTTCAAAGAATATGATGTCAGCTGAAAAGGTGACAGATGGTGGCATCGGGTCACGTCACATTTCCTCTAAAGAGGAATGCTCGTGTTGATTTTATTTTTTTAGATTGTAGTTTTGGTGAAGTGTTCAGTGTTTTTAATTTAACCTGACAACAACTTGAATGACATGTTTAATTGTATTCACAGTGTAGATGGAATTAGGCCACGTTTGATCACAAAGCATTGAACTAATAATAACAGTGGCAGAAGTGTTCCAGTGGTTCCAACCCTGATCCTTGAGGAACATCGTCCTCCCTGCTCCAACACACCTGATTCAGTGATTTAATTACTTCCTCATGTTCTGCAGAAGCCTGTTAATTACTCATTGATGAAAATCAGGTGTGTCGGAGCAGAGAAACAACTAAAACACGCAGGGTGGTGTTCCTCAAGTGTCAGGGTTGGGAACCCCTGAGTTAGTGAAGCACCAACTAATGTTGGGATGATTAACCTGTTAGACATACTGACCACAAACCCTCGGTCTTGATTGTTCAAGTGATGATCTATGTGACTTAGACAGAACAAACTTTGTTCAAATGGTTTCAAACAAACCACAGGACAAATATACGGGACCTTTGACCTCTGCTCAATGTTCCACTCTGGAGTAAAATGGATGTCTCATATTTTGAATAGGCTGTAAATTTTAAACAAGTAACATTCCAGCATACAGATGCCAAGGAGGTTAAATTATTCAGGCGTCATTATGTTAAATCCATAGCCTTAAAGCTGACAAGTTAGATTTTGTTTTCTGTACATTCCTGTTCCACTTTTAGTTGTGTGAATTCTTCATAAGCATTCACACTATTGAGATCCATTTTACTTCTGCACGTTGTTCGGTATTTTTCTTGTTCTACAATTTTTGAGCTATTTCATTAAATCATATATCAAAATGTTCAGCTCATTCCAAACAGTCCTGCTATGACTTGGAATTGGTGCAACTTTAGCTTTTTGAAATATTTAACCTTTTCTGCCATTTTTTTTTACTCATAGAAAATGAATTGAGCTCCTTTTACATCCTTCAAATCTTTAGATGTGTTTACAACCTTTAACTGCTCCTTTCACATTTTGTTCTGTTCAGCTTCTTTCAGCTTCCTTGAGCAAATTTAAACCTTTTTCCCATCTGTTTTCAGCTAATTTCAGCTGTTGTTTTTTGAGCTGTTTTGTGCTCCTTTCTGATTCTTTCTGCTAACTACAACATTCTTGTGCTTCTTATAGCTCCTTCTGCTAATTTCAGCTTCCTTTCAGTTTATTTATGGGTTTCAGCTTTTTCTGCTATTTCAGCTTTTTTTTTGTTGTTGTTGCTAATTTGATCTTTATTGGCAAATTCCACATTTTTTACAACATTTCAACTTTTTTCAGCATAATTCAGCAAAAATGTGCTCTCTCCACTTCTTCCTGATAAATTAAGCTTCTTTCAGCCTTTTTAGCTATTTTTCAGCTGTTTTTTTTTTTGCTGATTTCAGCTTTTGTCAGATAATTTCCACCTTTGTGCTCATTTCTGCTTCTTTCAGCCTAAGTGGATAAACGTGTTCTTTCTGCTTTCTTTTGCTAATTTAAGCTTGTTCTACCTTCTCAGCTGACTTTTTTAAGCATTTTTTTTTATCTAACTTCAGCTGTTTTCAGATCAATTCAAGTTTTTCATGGTATTTTCTGCTACTTTCAGCCTAAATAACTTTTTTGTGCTAACGTCAGCTTGTTATGCTCCTTTCAGATTTTTTTCTGCTACTTTCAGCTTTTTCTGTTATTTTAGCTACTATTTAGCTGTTTTATGCTAATTTTAGCTTTTTCAAGTAATTCTACATTTTTAAAGCTCATTTAATCTCTTTTCACTTTCCAGCAGTTTTAGGCTTATTTCTGCTTTTCAGCTAATTTTCACCTTTTTTTGTTGTTGCTAATTTCAGCTTTTTTAAGCTGATTTCCTCTTTTATGTGCTAATTTCTTCTTATTTAAACCTAATTCAGTAAATTTGTTCAGGCTTGTTCTTCCATTTCAGCTAGATTTCCACATGTTTTAAGCTAATTTCAGCTGTTTCTCAGCAAATTCTTCCGCAGTGAGCATTCACTCTGCATTTTCGCAGGCAATTCAATTTCTCTAGTTTTACTTGTATACTGACTTTTATTCTGATGCAAGAACGAATCATCGTCCTGCCCTGAATGTATAGCAGGGTGAAAGATTTATTTGTGTAGTCTTTAAGGCAGCAGCAGTTTATGGATGGCTCCAGGGAACATGTCAAGTCTGCACACAGAATTAAAACCTTACTGCTCAGGCAGAGAAAATAAGCAGCCGTGGCTCCTTGCGTGCTGCAGTGTGAAGACTTTAACAGGCTGTAGAACAGCCTGTCAAACACTGCGGTCAGTTTATTGGGCTGGAGGCGACACGGGGCAGCTCAGGATGTCTGCCCGGGCCTTGTTTTCCCCACAGCTGCCTTCTGTGACAGCATCCTGCCTAAAGTGGACTATTTTCGTCTCCCTGTGGAATTATCACCACCTGGTAATTTTCACAATGTTGACTGTTTTTGCTTTACAAAGCTCCTAAATGCTGCTGTCCCCATGTGACTGCTGCCATATGCCACTCGTGTTTCCAGTAGATTAAATCAGAATCTTCAGCGGAGGAAAGTTTTTACTGAAACGACTTTCTATATTTAACTGGGGAAGTTTTATCTCAACAGTTTAGAGTCCTTCCCCTGTCATTACCTCCAGCACGTTTCCATACTGATGCCAAACTCTCCGTCAAATCAGTTTAAGTTTGAATATAACAGGCTTGTGAATGTTTGATTGTTACTTAGGGCAATGACGCAGAAATAAATATTTAGTCAGTAGCAGCAGGCATTGTGGTTATACACACTCGTGTGCATGGTTGAGCTGCAGATGATGATATTTAGTCACAGCAGGTAACAGATGAGTCAGGAAATCACAGAGTGTACATTTTTTTCAACGCAAGGACAAGTCGTAATCTTT